AGGGAGGGAGAGACCAAGGTCATTCTGGGTTTTATCCTGGGGGTGGGCTGGAGCGATAGCACAGCGGTAGGGCAGCCAGCCCGGCCGAGCCGGGTTCGATTCCTCCGCCCCTCTCAGAGAGCCCGGCAAGCTACCGAGAGTATATTCAATATGCCAAACACAGTAACAAGTCTCAAAATGGAGACGTTACTGGGCCCGCTCAAGCAAATCCTGGGGGTATTCTTAGCGTGGTTGATGGAACTGAGCACACACATCAGGAGGTGAGCATACAGGACTTTTGGACCAGGTTCACAGCTCAGGGCTTTCCATGTGCAAGGCCCTGGATTTGGGGTGACTTTTTGCTTCACTGCATCCAATAAACATTTTGCTGATCCTGGCTCTTTGGGGGCCAGAATAATCATTGTAAATCTAATAAAGACAGGGAGCTATATCTCCTCGTAGGCAGAAAAACCAATTCTTCCCAACGATGTCAAACCACCCTGATCGCCTTTGTCCCGAGTCATTGGAGACAGCCTGTCGAGGCCAGAACGTGACCACACACCATGAATTCAGCAAATCTGGGTTTCACAGCCCGTGGAGACAAGTCGCTTTTATGTTCCAGGCTAGAGGAGAGGAAAGGACAGGGGTTCCTCTGCGGGGTCACAGAGCCTCAGGGGAGGAGATGGTACTCCAGAAAGCATCTGGACAGTGCTGGCTGGCACTGCTGAGTCGCTGGCGAGAGGACTTCACGTCTGGGGCCCCAGAGAAGTGGCCAAGGGTTCGTGTGCCCTTGGGAAAATGCCATTTGCACTGAGACCCAGGAAGGGCGCTGGGTGGGGAGAGCAGACTTCAGGGAGAGATTAGCCCCTGCAGAGGCTGGCCCTGTGGGGAGCGGGGAGAGCCATAGTGGGGGTGGGGGGTGAGGAGGGGGTGTGGATATTTTATTGTCTGTGCCCCAGATGCCACCAGGTGGAGGGCGTTGGGGCCATACTCAACATGCTCAAGGGGGCTGGAGAGATAGCACAGCGGGTAGGGCGTTTGCCTTGCATGCGGCCGACCCGGGTTCAATTCCCAGCATCCTATATGGTCCCCTGAGCACTGCCAAGAGTAATTCCTGAGTGCAAAGCCAGGAGTAACCCTCTGTGCATCGCCGGGTGTGACCCAAAACGCAAAAAACAAACAAACAACAACAAAAAACAGTGCTCAGGGCTGACTCCTGCCTCTGTGCTCAGCGATCACTTCTGGCAGGCTCTGGGGACCATATACAATGCTGGAGATAGAAACTGTGTCAGCTGTTCGCAAGGCAAACGCTTTATCCCTCTCAGAGCGCCTGCCCTGGCCACAGAAGATGTTCCAGTGCCACAGGTAGAACCCAGGGAAGGTTCCACTACACTTGCCCGAGCTGCTTTGGGGGGTGGAGAGACGCGGTGAGCAGGTGGCCCAGTGGCTCCCGGCTGCCCTGGGAAGCCAGTGAGGGGCTGAGGGCGAGGGCTGGAAACTCGAAGAGGCAGAGGCACGGCTGACGGCCCCACCCTCTACCCCACCCAGGGGCAGGCTGCAGAGCTCAGGAGGTGCCTCAGGGGCCCAGAGAAGAGATTTCCAGGAGACAGCAGAGCAGGAAAGCCCATTCTGGGGGCTAGAGCTATAGCACAGTGGGGAAGGCGTTTGCCTTGCACGCCTCCGACCAGGGTTCGATCCCCGGCATCCCATATGGTCCCCCGAGCACCGCCAGGAGTAATTCCTGAGTGCAGAGCACCCTGTGGATTGCCGAGTGTGACCCCCACCCCCCTCAGAAAAAAGAAAGTCCATCCTGTGGAAGCCCGGCAGTTCCCAAGCCTCAGCTGGGATGTGCCGTGCAGCCTGGGCTCCTGGAGGACAGAGATGGTCCAGGACTCAGAAAGGAAATGACCGCAAGGTCTCTGCAGTGCAGCCCCACTCCACTCTTCTCCCCCCACCCCCTCCTCCCTGCTCTCTCCCTCCTCCCTACTGCTCTCCGTCCTCCCTCTCACTCCTCTCTCCCTCCCTGCCTCCTCCCTGCCATCTCTCACTCTTTTCTTTCCCTCACCTCTTTCTGCCTACCACTGAGTTTTACACGGGGAGGAGGGTGGGGGCAGCCGGAGCCATAGCGTTTGACTTGCTCGCTGCTGATCTGGTTCGATTTCCGGCATCCCATATGGTTTCCTGAGCAGTGCCAGGAGTAATTCCTGAGTGCAGAGCCAGGAGGAACCTGAGCAACACCGGGTGTGGCACACCGCATCCCCTCCTCCCCCCCCAAAAAAAGACTAAGAGAGAGATTGGATAGTACAGTGGGTAGGGCGCTTGTCTTGCATGCAGCTGGCATGGGCTCAACTCCTGTCTCCCATGGGGTCTCCTGAGCCCAGAGCCAGGAGGAAGCCCTGAGCACTGCCGGGTGTGACCAAAAGTCTATCAGAAGTTGGTTTTGGAACATTCAAAAAGCTCCGCGCTGCTTCCAACAGGTTTAGAGAGAACAGACGGGAGTATAAAAATAAAACTGAACATTATTGATGGTTTTTTGCTTTGAACAGTAAGAGAAAGAATCATCTTTGAAAGTGTAAGTTTATTCTCCAGGTTCTTAAATATCCACAAACCAATGCTTTTAATTGCTGCTGTATCCAGAAGCTGCAACCAATTTTTAAAACACAAACTTTCACCATATATTTAACACACGAGACTGAATGGAACTGTATAAATCTTAAAAGACAAGAATTTTCAGTAATCATACAGAAACCAAGGGCAATGACAGCCTACAGTGTAGGAAGTCTGAAATAAAAGTGATGGGGGGGAGGGCCTAGAGTGATAGCACAGCGGGTAGGGCGTTTGTCTTGCATGCGGCCGACCCAGGTTCGATTCGCAACATCCCATATGGTCCCCGAGCACTGCCAGGAGTAATTCCTGAGTGCAGAGTCAGGAGTAACTCCTGTGCATCACCAGGTGCGACCCAAAAAGAAAAAAAGTGGCAAGGGGGTCAAGGAGGTTCACCCACCTTAGTTTAGTAAGCTATTGAAAACTATGCACAAGTATTATCTTTCCCTTCCCCATATTTAAAAGTAGTTCTAGGCTGTTCATGAATGAACATCAGTCCAGGCTTTGAGTACAGAGTTGGTTACCTATGCTAACACTTTGTTTTGGTTTTTGTGACACACTTGGTGGTACTTAGGACTTACTCCAGGCTCAGTGCTCGGGATCACTCCTGGCAAGGGCTCAGGGGACCACACGGGGTGCCGGGGATTGAATCTAAGCTGCCAGACATGCAGTTGACCCACTGACTAGCTATTCCACCCCCACCTCGGTCCTCTCCTAACACCAAGAAACTTAATTGTTTGCTTGGTTCGTATTATACAGAGGTTAAAAAAAAATCAACTAGATGCACAGTCAAGTAAAATTTGGTCACTGGGACAATTAACAGATGGCACATCAAAATGCAGAGCATGAATTTTAGGGTGAGAATATTAAATACAGACCAGAACGGAGAGCAACTCTTTGGAGCGGGGTATGGGGTCAAATAATCCAGATTTGACAAGTGCACGTGAAATGAATCCCAAGAAGGTAAAATGAACAGGGAGCTAAATTCAGACTAGTGCCAACTTTATTGACAAATTAACAATGCAAAATGATTTGTCCTTTTTATTCAAAAGAAAATTAAAACCATATTCTAATTGCTAGAGTGAACTTTTGATGTTTTCTAAACTTGCTGTATTATTTTCGTGACCAATACACAACTTCACAAATAATAAAATCAGATTAATCGTTTGTTATTATTCACAGTGACTCAGCACAAATCAGTGTCCCCAATTGTCCCAGTACTGGGGAGTTGAATGAGGACAAGTTAGTGACCCCTACATGGAAAAATTATTAAAAATGCTGTTTCCAGTGTTCCCTCCACCTCGTTTGGGCTTTTAAGAAAATAGACCTTACACTCGAAACATTTAAAATAACATTTTAATGCTGTTATTAGCTTTTATTTTCCGAAGTTAATCAAATTTTAAAACTTTCAAAATTTGCTATTGTACTGGTTTCAGATGTTCTGACAATAAAACTTTTGTTCGATTTTAATTTAAAAAATGTGACAATTACAACCCTTTGTTGAGTAAGTGGCCTCTAGTCTTTTTTTGGTTGTGACTTTAAGAAGGACTTGAGTTTGTTGCCCAGTATTCTTTTAACACCGTGCAGGAGAGCGTGAGAGATGAGGTGGCGGCGACGCTGGCGTAACGAGCCTCACTGGCAAGCCGAGCAGGGTCTGGGGCTGTGCTCACCGACTCCGCGCTCGCCTTGCATGTGTGAGGTCCTGGATTTCCCCCCCCCCCGGAAAAAAAATACTGCTTTGTTAGACTGTGTTAATATAATGTCACTAGATCCAACAACTGGTGGTTAGAGGAAGGGGTGAAAATAATCAAGCTACTGTAATTGAAACCAGTTTGACTCAAAAAAAAAAAAAAATCAAAGTATCCAGCCCACCCAACTGTTCTATGCACGGAAGTCCCGGGCCTTTCTGCCGCCAACACTGTAAGTCCCCCACAAATCACGACTCTATCCCCAAGTACCCTCTGACGCTCTGTGCTCCTTGGCTGAGTGTTGGGCCCCACCTGGCTTTTGGGGCCCACTCTGGGCGCAGTGCTGGCCGTGCTGGGGCCCTGGTGCCGAGAGTGGAGCCATCTCCCCGGATCTGTTTTTGAAAATCTACTGATCGATAGCTTTACCACACATTGAATTTTACTGGGAAAAAAAAAAAAAAAGAGTTCTTAAGGGCCAGGAACATGGCACAGAGATAACAGATCTAGCTAAATCCCCAGCAGAGAAGAAAATAAAGAGCAAAACAAAAAACCAACACACTGTTCGGGACATAGGTGAGCACGGGAAGCGGTGTGCAAGTATTGCTTTTATTATAATTAATGGTTGTTAGCTGAACGAAAACAAATGGCTAAGAAGACTTCAAATGACTAAAAGTGAAAATTGTGTTTGGTGAAGTTATGACACAGTTTTTGAGCACTCTCAAACTCAGATAATATAAATGTATTATATATTTGTATCAACTGAAAATGCAAAGTTTTCAACAAAAACCATAGAACAGAAAGGTAGAAAGGGGATCTCAAACTTACTATCTCTGAAATTTTAGACAAGGAGCAGAGAATAAAAAAAAATAAAATAAAAAAACCCCAAACATATACACCACAAGTCTTTTTCTTTTTGTTTTTCTTTTCTTTTTTTAATAACTTCCAATTTCAACTCTTTTCTAAACGTATTCAGGGCGCTGAAACCCTATTGTAGATTATGAATCATCTCCTCTTTGGCTATGAGATGTGTAGTTTTGTTAACGAGAGACATCAGCGAGTTCAGTTTCTGAGACCAGTCATTTAATAAATTATTCGGATCCTTAGGTCTCTGGAAGTTGATAATTCCTGCCAATCGGTCTACTTTAGCAAAGATGGTCTTGTTAACGACAAGATTGGAGAGAAAAGCTTCTGATTCCTGCAAGAGAGACAAACTGGATTTAGGCAGGATAACTACAAACAATAAACAAAATTTGAAACAGTTTTTTTTAGGGGACCATATGGGACGCTGGGGATCAAACCTAGGTCACCCACATGCAAGACAAGCATGCTACCCATTGTACTATCTCTCTGGCTCCAGAAAGCAATTTTGTTTGGGGGCCACACCCAGCTATGCTCAGTGGTCACTCCTGGCTGTGCTCAGGGGACCATACGGGATGCTCGGTATCGAACAAGGCAAGTGTGTGTGTCCCCCGCCCCCAGCTGTACTATACAGCCCCTCCAAGAAAGCAATTCTTAATCTTGCCATCCAAGAATATTCAGGGCGGAAACTGCTCGTGGGGGGGCAAGAGCTAAGTGCTGCTGTCCTGCGGTCACCAACACTTTGGCGTCAGAGGAGTGCAGAACAGTTCTCTGCGGTGTCATGGCCCAGAGACAGATGACTACGGCAGGTGTGACTCCTTCATTTGCTCTCAAATACGGTCCGAACCTAGTGATGCTGGGGCCATGCTTGGCCCCGCAGTGCTTGGAGGTCAAATTCAGGTCCCTGCACAGACTAGGCACTTGATCCGCTCCACTATGTATGCCAGGTCCCTGAACTGTCCTTTCTAGAACAGAAAGGATAAAAGGTATTCAAGGTAGTATCAATGGGGCTGGAGACAGAAAGGGGCTAAAGGTGTTTGCCTTGTACATGGCTGACGCCTCCAGTTTCACCATACGTGGTTCCCAGAGCACTGCCAGAAGCCGCTACCCCCACCCCCACCCCACAATGGCAGATACCTTTCAACTTTTCCTCCCTCCACCTCCCCACTTCCCCTCTCTCGACCCCACCTCCTTAGCTCCTTTCCCTGCCTCCGCATCCTTTTAGGCACTGCGGTTTGCAATACAGGAACTGAAAGGTTATCGTGCGTATCACTTTACCTCCTTTCCATATTCAGTTCTTGTCCACAGTCATTTCCAACCTTAATTGTCACAGTGGTCCCTTCTCTATCCTAACTGCCCTTTCCATGCCCCCACACCCCCTGACCTGTGGCAAACTTCCAACCATGGTTCAGTCCTCCTGGCCTTCATTTCTACTGTCTTTGGGTATTATTCTCATACTATTTTTAAAAAATATCCCACAAATGAATGCAATCATAACATGCCTGTCCCTCGCTCTCTGAATCATTTCACTTAGCATAATATTCTCCATGTCCATCCATGTAAAAGCAAATCTCATGACTTCATTTTTCATTGTGGCTGCATAGTATTCCATTTTGTAAATGTACCACCACAGTTTCTTTACCCAGTCATCTGTTCTCAGGCAGTTGGGTTGTTTCCAGATTCTGGTTATTGTGAATACTGCTGCGATGAACATAGAAGTGCAGACGGTGTTTCTGCAGTCTGTTTTTGGACCACTCTAGTGGTATTCCCAGGAGTGATATTGCTTAATTTCCAGTTTTTTTGAGGAATGCTCATATTGTTTTCCAAAAAGGCTGGGCCAGTCAACATTCCTACCAACAATGAATGAGAGTCGCTTTCTCCCTGCATTCATGCCAGCACTGGTTGTTCTTACTCTTTTTGATGTGTGCCAGTCTTTGTGGCATGAGATGATATCTTACTATTGTTCTGATTTGCATCTTCCTAATGATCAATGATGCAGAGATTTTTTGATGTGCCATTTGGCCAATTGTATTTTTTCTCTGAAGAAGTTTCTGTTCATTTCTTTTCCCCATTTGGTGACTGGGCTGGATGCTTTTTTTTCTTATAAAGTCCTACCAGTTACATATCTTTGATATTAACCACTTTTAAGATGCATGTTGGGTAAAAAATTTTTCCCATTTCCTGGTCTGTCTTTGTATCCTGGTCACCACGACAACAGGCTCTTCTTAGTTTAATGTAGTCCCATTTGTTTATCTTTGCTTTCACATGCTCGGTCAGTGTTTCATCTGTGAAGATGCCTTTAGCTCCAATGTCACGGAGGGTTCTGCCTACATTTTTCTTCACGCACCTTATAGATTCCGGTCTGATACTGTGGTCTTTAACCCACTTTTATTTGACTTTTGTTATAAAGAGGTCTGAGTTTAATTTTTGCACATTGCTGCCCAATTTTCCCAGCACCACTTGTTAAAAGAGAATTTCCTTGCTCCACTTCGTATTTCTTGCTCCTTTATCAAAGATTAGCACTGTAGCACTGTGCTCCCATTGTTCATCAATTTGCTCAAGTGGGCCCAGTAGCGTCTTCATTGTGAGACTTGTTACTGTGTTTGGCATATCGAATACGTCATGGGGAGCTTGCCAGGCTTTGCCGTGAAGGCGAGATACTCTCGGAGGCTTGCTGGGCTCTCCGAGAGGGGCGGAGAAATTGAACCCAGGTCATGCAAGGATAACGCCCTACCCGCTGTGCTATTGCTTCAGCCAAAACCCTCACAAAAGGCCTACAGCACCCAGTATTCCCAGGCGGTCTATCATCCAAGTACTAACCAAGCCCGACCCTGCTTAGCTTCCGAGATCAGACGAGATCGGCGCTTTCAGGGTGATTAAATAATTATATATTTGAGACTCTGTGTCAGGGTATCTAACTCTACTCCATTGATCTGCGAGTCTGTCTTTATTGCAGCACCATGCTGTTTTAATTACAACAACTCTGTAACAGTTTGTAGTATAGTTTGAAGTAGGGAAGGTTGATGTCTCTCATCTTTTCCCAAAGGATTGCTTTAGCTATTCGTGGGGGTTTATTGTTCCATATGAATTTCAGGAGTGTTTTATCTCTTTTTAAAATGTCATGGGTATCCTTATAGGAACCATACTGAATCTGTACAGTGCTTTGGGGAGTATTGTCATTTTGACAATGTTAATCCTCCCGATCCATGAGCAGGGGGTGTTTCCACTTACTATACAGATCTATTGTTTCTTAGAAGCCTTTTTTTTTTCTTCTGCTTTTTGGGCCACATTCGGTGATGCAAAGGGTTACTCCCTCATGCACTCAGGAATTACTCCTTGCGGTGCTCAGGGGACCATATGGGATGCTGGGAATTGAACCTGGGTTGGTCTTGTGCAAGGCAAACGCCCTACCCGCTGTACTATCGCTCCGGTCCCTCTAGAAGCTTTTTTGTAGTCTTCAGGATACTCTAAATATTCTATCATGTCATCTGCAAAAACCAAAAGTTTGACTTCTTGTTATCTGGATGCCCTTGATATCTTTTTCTTGCCTAACTGCTATGGCAAGTATTTGCAGTACTACACTGAACAGGAGTGGCAAGAGTGGGCAACCTTGTCTTGTGTCTGATCTTAGAAGGAAGGCTTTTTGTTTTTCCCCCACTGAGAATAATCCTTGCTATGAGTTTGTGGTAGATGGCTTTGAATACACTGAATGAAGCTCCTTCAACTCCCATTTTGTTGAGTTTTTAATCATGAATGGGTAATGGATTCTGTCAAATGCTTTCTCTGCGTCCACTGATACGATCATATATTTTTTTTTATTGATATATAAATGTCAATGCTATACTATGTATATTGACTTGCGAACGTTAAGCAATTCTTGCATCCCTGGGATGAATTATTTGGTCATGTTTTATGATCTTTTTGATGAGTTATTGAATTCTGTTTGCTAGTATTTTGTTGAGGATTTCTGCATCTGTGTTCATCAGGGATATCGGCCTGTAATTCTCTCTCTTTTTTTTACTAACAGCATCCTGTTATGTTCGCTTTACAGAAACTGTTCGGGAGTGTTTGTTTCTTCAATTTCCTGAAAAATCTTGAAAAAGCTTGGCAGTAGGTCTTCTTTAGAAGTTTGAAAGAACTGACTAGTGAATCGATCTGGGCCTGGGTTTTTGTTTTTGGGAAGACTTTCGATTGTCATTTTAATTTCCTCGATAGTGATATGTCTGTTCAGATATTCCAAATCTTGGCTCAGGAATCTAGGCATTTATCCATTTCTCCTAGATTCTCTCATTTTGTGCTTTAAAGATTCTCAAAGTAATCTTTTTGTGAGTCCTGATAGTAGTTTATTGATCTTGTTTCTTTTCTTTTGGCTTTTTGGGTTACACTCGGAGATGCATAGGGGTTACTCCCGGCTTTGCACTCAGGAATTACTCCTGGAGGTGCTCAGGGAACCACCTGGGATGTCGGGGATTGAGCCCGGGTCGGACACATGCAAGGCAAACACCCTCCCCGCTGTACTATAGCTCCAGCCCCTGATCTTGTTTATTTTTTCAAAGAAACAGCTCTTGGCTTTATTGATCTTTAAGATTGTTTTTGGGATTCCAGCTTGTTAAATTTTGCTCTAAATTTATTTCCCTCCTCCTGCCTGGTTTGGGCTCCTTTTGTGTTGTATCTTAATGTAAATCTAGAAGTTAAATAAAATCCTCATCTATGAGGCCAGAGAGACAGTAGAGCATATAAGACAACTGTCTCATTAAAAGCTTGAACTTGGCATTGCCAGGAGTGATCCTCAACTGCAGAAACAGGAGGAAGCCCTGAGCACCACTGAGTGTGACCCCCACACAAACAATAAAACCAAAAAGTCCTCAACACGAGCTTTTGGGGTAAACTTGCCAATTCTCCTTCATAGCTTTCATTTCTTCAAGTACACTTTTTATTTTTTTGCTTTTTGGGTCACACCCGGCGATGCACAGGGGTTACTCCTGGCTCTGCTCAGGGGACCATATGGGATGCTGGGAATTGAACCCGGGTTGGCCGCGTGCAAGGCAAACGCCCCACCCGCTGTGCTATTGCTCCAGCCCCTCTTCAAGTATACTTTTGGGAACACGGACATACTGCATAGGAAAATATACTTCATGCAGTACTTTGCAGCATCTGGCACACAGAAGGCACACAATAAATGTTTATGTGAATACTATAAAACTCTTAAATGTTACAGAACTTTTTTCTATGTGACAGTACATAGGTTAAGGCACTTGCCTTGAGTGTGGCCAACCCTGGTTGATTCCAGGCACCACATATATTAATAACCCCTAAGCAGTCCTGGTCGTGTCCCAAATCCCACCCCAGTGAAATATGCCCTGGACTTTCATGGATGTGAAACTACAAATTTAAGTAGACTTAATTTAGAATACTCGATACTCGATACTCTCGGTAGCTTGCTGGGCTCTCCAAGAGGGGCGGAGGAATCGAACTCGGGTCGGCCATGTTGGCTGCATGCAAGGCAAACGCCCTACCACTGTGCTATCGCTCGAGCCAGCACGGCAGAGCCTGGCAAGCTCCCCGTGATGTATTCGATATGCCAAACACAGTAACAACAAAGTCTCCAATGGAGACGTTACTGGGCCCGCTCGAGCAAATCGATGATCAACGGGAGGGCCATCTAATTTAGAATAGGGCTGGAGAGACAGTCAAGGGGTTAAGGCATTTGCCTTGCATATGCCTGACCCTGAATTAATCCCCGGCATCACAGGGTCCCCTTGCCAGATAGAGGAATAGCCCCTAAGCACTGCCTCAAGGCGCAAACCATTCTCCCCAGATAAATCCAGAGCTGAGCATAAATGTCTGGAGCAGTCTGGGGCTTGCTGAGAGGCACCGGGGCCCCCAGCATCTCAGCTCCATGAATCGCGGCAGTACCATCACACCAGACTACTGTTTCTGTTCTCAGGACAGTGTAGGATCAACTTTCACATAAACAGAGGCCCAATAATCAAACAATTTCTCACTCAATTTTTACAAGTCCATTGTTAAGATGAATGGCTACAAGATTACAACTTACATCAACAGAGAGGTCCAGAAGCTGTGCCATCCTCTTCATTGTGATCCTCGTGTAATACTTGGCCATTATCCGAATATTCTGGGAAGGGAAGAGGGCAGGGAGGACACATCAGCGTCAGTAAAGCTAAAAAGGCAACTTGCTGTCACAGTTCTAATCCACCTGTCACACTCAGGACAGGGGAGATGCTTGGGGCTCAAAGGACGAGAGCATGTGATCTGCATTAAAATCTCCCAGTAGTCCCCCAAGTACAGAGCTGGGAACAGTCCCCTGAACTATTCCTCCCCACCCCACAAAAGCAAGCAACAAAACCTTCAAATTAATAGTGGGGAAAAAACCCATCCAGTCTGACTCAGAACTTATCTTTTTACTTGGCCACACCCAGTGATGCTCTGAACACAGGGATCACTTCTGACAGTGCTCAGGGGACCATATGGGGTGCCAGGGATCAAACCCAAGCAGGCCAGCTTCCTACCCACTGTACTCTCACCGTAGCCTCAGGGACCATGTCTTATACTCCTGTTCATGCAGCACTTTGCAGCATTTGGCACACAGAAGGTTCACAATAAATGTTTCTGATGTGAATACTGTAAAACTCAATCTGTGAGACACCAGGAAGACGAAGATTTTGGTGTCAGAGATGTTAGTCATTTCCAAGTCTACCAAGTGAATAACAGAAAACACTTCCCCTGGGGCTAGAGCGATACTACAGCAGGTAGAGCGTTTGTCTTGCATTTGGCCAACCCTGGTTCAATTCTGGGCTTCCCATATGGTCCCGGGAACACTGCTAGGAGTAATTCCTGAGTAAAAAGCCAGGAGTAGCCACCATGCACCAACAAGTATGACACAAAAAAGCCAAAAACAAAGAAACAAAAGAATACCAAAACCCAAAAAAACAACCAAAAAACTACCTCTGGGCCAGCAAGATAGTATAGTGGATAGGGTGCTTGCCTTATTTGGGAGCAGACATGGGTTTGATCCCCGGCATCTCATCCCAGGGATCATACCTGGTACCTGGTCCCCTAAGGCTACCAGGTACCAGGTATGATCCCTGAGTACAGAGCCAGGAATAAGCCCTGAGCACCATCACTGCCACGTATGGCCCAGAAACAAAAAAAAAAAGTATCTCTTATACCCCTTATCCCAATTCAACCTTGTTCTGCATTCTTAATTACCGCTGGTTTATATACTATGAAGGCTTGTATTTTTTTTTTTGAAGTTCTGTATTCTCGAGAACTCCTCTCAAAATAAAATAAGCACAGCACAGCAATCTTTTCTGAAAGCTTAAAGATGGCAATGGGAAAGACAAGCATGACAACAAACTCTGACATGCTTTTATGTTTATTTTGGTTTCTTTTTGGGAGGTCACGCCCAGCAGTGCTCAGAGGACCATATATGGTACCTGAGATAGAACAGGGTCGACTACAAGCAAAGCAAGTGCTTAATGCTTTAGCGCTCTCTTCAACCCTGATGCTCTTAAAAAAGCTCTGCAGAAGTAGTCCCTGAACAGGTTGGAGAGATGGTACAGTGGGGCAGACATTTGCCATGCACGTAGTTGACCAGGTTTGATTCCAGCACCCTGTAAGGTTCCCTGAGCCCATAGGAGTGATCCCTGAGTGCAGCCAGGAGTGAGCCCTGAGCACAGACGGGTTGAGCCCTGCCAAGATAAACACTGTCAAGTGTGGCCCGAACCCACCCCCCTCCAAAGATGCTGTATGCTTTGGGAAATACATAGTGAACATTAGAATAACAACTGACCTTATTAGACCAGGCATTTGTAAGGGAGGGAAAGAAATTCTAAAGAAATTAATCTAAGAAACAGGCTCAAGAAATAGTGTGGGGGCTAGAGAGCTTGTCGTGCACCTCGTGCACCAACTTGCAGTTCAATCTCCGGTTCCCCAGATGGTCCCCCGCCGCCCCTGGAAGTGATCCCGTTAGCGCTGAGGCAGGAATAAGGCCTGAGTGGTGCCGGGTGTGACCCAAACACCAAAACCAAGAAGAGAAATTCAAGGAACAATGATCACACGATGCCCTCTCTTACATGTTCAACAACTCTGTTCTTCAAGTCTTTCCACCGCTTTTCCCCTTCTTCCGTGTAGCCAAAAACATCAGTTGCAGGACTGTCCAAAGAGCCTTTCCTCAATTCCATCCCATAGTCTTCGACAAGTGTAGACCAACCCATCAACTCCATTGTGGTAAAGAGCTTCAGAAGATCTCTGCGGGTTGTGAAAAATGTGTACAAGATTACCATCTAATGCAACAGGACACATTTCAATCCAGTGGGAGCAGGAATGACAGCTCACTTGGCTGACTGCATGCAAAGCACAGCGAGTCTGGGGCTGCTCCCTGGTACTACTGTATGGGTCCCTAAGCACCACTGGGGGAGACCCTAAGACCCGAAACAAGTATCAGCTTATCAACTTTGGGAACCAGGGGGACAATGTGTGGTGCTGGGGACCAATTCAGGGTTGGCTGCATGTAAGGCAAACACTTTGCCTCCTGTCCTATCTCTCTGGCCCCCAGAGTGTTTAAGGGCCAGCCCCTAAGCATATGTCTTTCTTTTTTTTTAATTTATAAGGCAGTTCACAATATTTGATTACATTAAATATTCTAACACCAATCCCACCAACATTACACCTTCCTACCACCATAAGGCATATGTGTCTTATATCACAGATTTTAAGAAGTAAACACTTCATAAAAGCCACAAAGTCGGGGCTGGAGTGATAGCACAGCGGGTAGGGAGTTTGCCTTGCACGCGGCCAACCCGGGTTCAACTTCTGGCATCCCATAGGGTCCCCTGTAATTCCTGAGTGCAGAGCCAGGAGTAACCCCCGTGCATCACCAGGTGTGGCCCAAAAAGCAAAAAGAAAAAAAAAAATCAGAAAGTGAATCAAAGGGTAAATGAACCAAAAGCTGTTAATTGAACATGAAATGAAACTTCACTTGAGGGGCAGTACAGCGGCTGATCAGGGTTCGATCCTGGCCTCCCATATGGTCAAGCCTGTCAGGACTGATCCCCGAGCACAGAGCCAGGAGTAAGCCCCGAGCACTGCCGGGTGTGGCCCTCAACTCCAAAAACAAACAGAACACTTCAATTGAGGGGACCCGAGAGACAGAACAGCACAGAAAGAGTGAGCCTTGCATGCCACCGACCTGAAGTTGATCCCTGACACCCCACATGGTCCCCTGAGCCCACCAGGACTAATCTCTGAACACAGACACAGGAGAGGCCCTGAGCACCGATGCGTGTGGCCCCCAAACAACAACAACCCCCCCCCCCCCCGCCAAAACTTGAACTAAATGTGCTTTATAATTAAGTGTTCTACTCAGGGCTGGAGCGATAGCACAGCAGGTAGGACATTTGCCTTGCATGCGGCCAAACTGGGTTCGATTCCCAGCATCCTATATGGTCCCCTGAGCACCGCCAGGAGTAATTCCTGAGTGCAGAGCCAGGAGTAACCCCTGTGCATCGCCGGGTGTGACCCAAAAAGTAAAAAAAAAAAAAAAATTGTTATACTCGTGTAAATATTTTTCTATTTTGAGCCACACACAGCAGTTACTCCTGGTAGGGCCTGGAGGGAACCATATGGGGTGTTGGGGATCAAATCCAGGTCAGTGACATGCAATGCACCTGTACTACCCTATGTACTATCTCTCCAGCCCCTATATGAATTGTTTGTTTTCTGTTTTGTTTTTGGACCACACTTGGCAATGTTCAGGATTTCCTTGGCACTGCACTCAGGATTTACTTCTCGCAGTCTTGAGGAACCACATGGGACGCTGGAGATTGAACCTGGGAAAGCGCCCTACCCACTGTACTCTGTTCCCAGTCCCCTCTACATCAGTTTCTAATGCAACACCAATTTCTAATTACCATACAATCTCTCAGCAGCCAATTAAGTTAACCACCGGTTAATCAAATCCTTCAATGGCCTTTCTGCCGAGACATCACACTAGGTGTAAGAGCACTTACTTGTACTTGGGGATTTCTTCCAACTTCTTGTCACCACTTATTCGATGAACCAAATCTGACTGTTCATTGTCAAAAGGAGCCAAGATGACATAGAGGACCACACTTTTCAGAGCCTAAAAGAGTTGCACAACACAATCAATTACATGCACATTTTTTTACACTGGAAATTGAACAGGAACTGGAAAACTTGCATAAAGTCATTTTAAATACTATCCAGGTCTACGGGAAAAAAAATTAACAGGAAGCTCTATTCACGGTGTTTTTCTGAAATATTTAATAAGGACAACCCAGAATTTTATTTTGAACTTAAGGTACACTGACAACGGGAATTAATAAAGATTCCTGAAGTATCAAAGGGAACAGGAATCAGCACAATGTATAGTTACTTTTAAATTATTTGAAAATAGGTGCCAGTAAGATATCCCAAAGGGTTGGATCACGTGCATTATAATCAGGAGCTCTGGGTTTGATCCCTGACACCACATGGTCCCGAGTCCCATCTCTGCCCTTTGCCCTAACCAACACCATTATTGTTCAAAATGAGATAAGCTAACAAAATTATTCCGGTAGGATTGTCAAGGGGGCTGGAGCGATAGCACAGAGGATAGGGCGTTTGTCCTGCAAGCGGCCGACCCAGGTTCGATTCCTCCGTCTCTCTTGGAGAGCCTGGCAAGCTACCGAGAGCATCCCGTCTGCACAGCAGAGCCTGGCAAGCTACCCGTGGCGTATTCAATACGCCAAAAACAGTAACAACAAGTCTCACAATGGAGAGGTTACTGGTGCCTGCTTGAGCAAATCGATGAACAACAGGAGGTTAGTGCTACAGTGCTATGATTGTCAAGGGAGCACAGCATGGAAGACACTGGCCTTGCACATGCCCAACCAGGTTAGATCCTCAGCGTCACATAATGGTCCCCAAGTGGAGAGCCAAGAGTATGCCCTGAATACTGCCAGGTGTGCCCCCAAAACAGTAACAAACTTACTTAAAAATAAAATTTACAAAGACATGCTTTTTTGGCCTACATGGTACAGTGTAAGGCTGAAATCTGTCTCCTTACCTGCTGCCACTTTTCACTTTCTGCCTGTATGCAGGGAGTGTCGTAGATGGCTCTGTAGTGCTTACAAATAGACAAATAGGAGCCCTCGTGCTGATCCAGCTGAATCATTAAGTTATAGTATTTCAACTTTAATTTCTGAAAATAAGTTGACAAAGTTAATTGGTATATTTATGGGACTCCCTTCTCTTCTCCGACTGACACTGTTACAAGTAAACTCAAGAGTATGAGACATACTCACCTCTGTATTTTCCTCCTGGAAAAATTTGGTGTTGATTTTCTTGCTGATGATCTGCGTACGGATGTAATCCTTCACAGCCAGGCAGAGCCTCATCTGCTCCAGGATAAACTCCACTCTCTCCTTCTTCTCCATGGACCCGTAGGTTTCCACCTAGCAGACACACCCCCACATGCCACTGAGTAACGGAAAACAATGCCACAAGGGCTGGGAGAGAGCACACCTGGCTGGCAAGCATGAATCACATGCAGGAGGCCTGGTTCCATCCCCAGCACCGCCACCCTGGAGCGCCAAGCCAGGAGGAGTCCCTGACCACCACGGAGTGCGTGTGACCAAAGCACAAAAACAAACCAAGAAAATGCAAGAAGCCTGGTATTCCATGAAACGGGAGGGGCAGCACAGCCAGTAAGACGAGCACTGCAACAGCACCGACCTGACTGATCCCGAGGCACAGGGCCAGGAGTAAGCCCGAAGCAGTGCTGGGCGTAGCTCAGAACCCAAATCAAAAATAAATGAATTCACTCCCAAAGAGTGAATGTGTGTACTGGGAGAGTCCAGAGAACGATACAAAAATGATACTGCGTCTGGGCTGAAGAAACGGTATAAACCAGCTCTTGCCTTGCTAGTGGCGGCCGACCCGAGCTCGACCCCTGGCACTGCCGTGGTCTCCTGAGACTGGTAAGAATGATCTCTCTGTACCAGGACTAAGCCCTGCAGGGTATCAACTACCCCCTAACCCCACCAAAAACAAAAATCAATCAAAATAATAAAATGATTCCTCCAGGAAATCCAACTTTTAGAAATTAAGAGTAAAAATTATTTTTAGGTATAAAACTTTCGTGAGGAAGCTGGAGATGTATTTCAACAGGCAGGGTGATCGCCTTGCAAGAGGCTGCCCTGGGTTCAACAGCCCATAGCTCCCAGCCCCTCCAGGTGTGGTCCCTGAGCGCAGAGCCAGGAGTCTTGAGCACCGCCAGCTGCGGCTGCCCCCCTCCCCAACAAAAACCCCGATGCCCCCATGACACTCATTCCAAATCTTGGCAGTTTAGTCAAAGTGACAAGGAACCAAAACAAATTATTTTCACACATCAGTATCGCTGACCAAACCGGAAGCTTTGCACAGCTTCAAACACAGATACGTACCTGCAACTCCTGCAAAATGGAGGCCGCCTCCTTCACGTCGCCACTTTGCTCCTTGATAGTTGCTAAGGTTTTGGTCAGCCGAGCACGTTCAATTTCAACATAAATCTACAAACAGAAGAAACGCCTATTATCGTAAGTCCTGCAGAAATGTGCTGACATTTACACGGGCGAACTGAAGCACCAGTCACAAGCAGGAGTATTTATCTTGCAGCTGGCAGCCCCAAAGCCCACAGAGCTGTGTGACTTTTGACATTTTACAGTTGGACAATCTTCTTTTATGTACTAATCTGAATAGGGGCAGGCCACACCCAGTGGTGCTTTGAAGGCCAATTGGAGTCCCAGGGATTGAACACAGGTTCTCTACATGAGGCATGTGATCTGTCACTTAAGTCAAAGAAAATGGCTCTGTAAAACACGGTCAGGGGCCTGAGAGACAGTATGGTGGTAAGGCACCTGCCTTGCACGCAGTTGACAGAGTCTGATCCTCAGCACCTAAAATGGCCCCTGAGCCCTGCCAGGCATGACCTACACGGGGGAAGGGGGGCGGGGGGGGACCGACATGACGACACACAGTCCTAGCCATGTACGATGGCCTCGAGTCAATTGGCCTTCTGTGGCCCCAAACAGAACAGCTTAAACACAGGCTACAGATTTGGGCTTTTCCACTCTGTTTGGGGCCAATCCCCGCAGTGCTCAGTGTTTGCTCCTGGCAGGACTCAGGGAATCAGTTCCCCAAACGGCACTAACAGGGTTCGGGCAAGTACAGGTAAGCACCTTACCTGCTGGGCTACCTGGGCCATAGTTTTGCGTGTATTATTTAAAATGATTACTTTTTTTGGTTTTTGGGCCACACGCAGCAGTACTCAGGGGGTCACTCCTGGAGGGGGTAGTGCCAAGGAATGAATGCCAAAGAGTGAGCTAGGGTTGGCAGGAATTCAAGAACCTTATCCTCTGTTCCGTCTCTCCGAAGCTACAAATGTAGCTTTGCTTTCAGAACCTTAACACAAAATCAGTGTGGTTAACATGTAATAGAATCACCAATTACATAAATAGGGAGGTGGGGGAGCAACTGTTTTGTTTGGGGGCCATGACAGGCAGTACTCAGAGGTTACTGTTTGGGGGTCAGTCCTAGATTATATGGTGTCAGGACTTAAACCCAGGGTTCATGTCAGCTCTGTATGCGGGAGCCCTGGGCCCAGTGCTCAGACCATACAGTCTCCCAAGGATTCGGCACGGCCCCCAAACAGAGTTCAACTATTTGAAAAATAAGCACTTTACAAAGAGCATACGATGATTTCACAACTACAATCCAACCAAGTCTCATTCTAAGCTGTAAACACAGGTCGCATTGGGGAGAGCCTTTGAAGGGTTAAGCAGACCTGGGAGCGACCCCAACATTGAGGTAAACACTGTTTGCCTCCCCAAACAAAACAGAAATATCCCACACTGCAATCAAGCAGAACACAAGGTGGGCTATTTGCTTCCCAAGTATCTCCCCTGTCTGGAGGCACCGCAAGCAAAGCTCACACTCTTGAGATGAAAAAGATTATGGGCAAGAAGTCAGCCCTGAAATTAAATGGTGGCAGGCAAGTCCAGAGAATAAGGCGGGGACCTGACTCCTTTCCGAGTCGTGTGACACATGAACGTGCAGAGATGGCCACCGGTGGGCAATGGAGTAACTCGGAATAGCAGGGATAAAGGAAACGGTGTCATGATGCAAGAGGCCGAGGAAGGGGCGGCAGCGTGTGCTCGGGATGGCAGACGCCCCCCGCCGAGTCCTGTCCACAGCATCTTTGTATTATGACAGAAATATCAGGAGGCCGGAGGGACAGCAGGGGAGATGCTTGTTTTGCAAGCAGCTGACAGGGCTTGATCCCAGCACTACAACTGGTCCCTTGAGTCCTACCAAAAAAGATTCTCCGAGGGGCCGGAGTAATAGCACAGTGGGGAGGGTGTTTGCCTTGCATGCGGCTGACCCAGGTTCGATCCTTGACATCTCATATGGTCCCCCGAGCACCGCCAGGAGTAATTCCTGAGTGCACAGCCAGGAGTAACCCCTGAGCATCGCTGGGTGTGACCCCCCCCAAAAAAATTGGGTTGTAAAACAAACAAAAAACGAGGGGTGGGGGAAGGGGTGTATTATTATTTTTTTTTTTGCTTTTTGGGTCACACCCAGCAATACACAAGGGTTATTCCTGCCTCATGCACTCAGGAATTACTTCTGGCGGTGCTCAGGGGACCATATGGGATGCTGGGAATTGAACCTGGGTCAGCCACATGCAAGGCAAACGCCCTACCCACTGTGCTATCGCTCCAGTCCAAAGTTACGTAAACTTTCTTGAATTTTTGTTAAACTTTGCAATAATAATAAAGTACAGATTTCTGTATCTGTTGTTGGGCCACAGAGACAGTACTGAGGTTAAGGTTCTCATCTCGCATGAAGCTGAGCCTGGTTCAATTCCTTGCACCACCAGTAGGACTGATCCCTGAGCACCACCAGGTATGTGTGTCGTGTGTGTCTCCGCCTCCCCACAACCTTCCATCTATTCCTGAGGCCAGGCAGATGGCTCAGGTTGCACGTTTTGCAGGCAGAAACCCCAGTTTAGTTCCTGACACCACGGGGTCCCCAGCACACCGAGCACGACTGGAGTACTGAGGCAGCAGCAGCCCTAGAACAACGATGCTATCCCATGTTTCCACCGAATAAACATTACACCGATAATTAAAGCCTAACAGTGTTGGAAACTAATTTTCAGGCTTAGGTTTGCTTAAACCATTAACAACTTCTCTGGGACTCCTTCCCCCACCCCCCACCCCAAAACCCTTATCTCCAAAATTAGCAAGTGTCCAGTGTCCTACACGCACCTAGGTTCCCCTATGCCTTCTTCTCTAGCCCTATAGCTTGCTTCCTGGGAGGCAGGGGAGCAGGAGCTAGAGAGGACATGAGGCAGAGGCACTGGCCTAGCACATGGCAGACCCAGGTCACCCCTCAGTTCAGGTCAGCACTGCTCAGAACAACCCTGAGCAAGCTCAAGCGTGGGCCCAAAACCCCCACAGGTCCAAGAGAAAGTTCAGCGGCCTGAAGTGCAGGCTTGGCATGCAGGAGGCTCCAATCTGATCCATGCATGGTTCCCCCAAAACCAAAGTCTCTGGGCACTGCTGCTGGGTATGGGCCCAAATGCTAAAACCCAGAAAAGTCATCCCGGTCATCACCTATTCTGAGGATTCCTGGGCACCCAAGCCAGCGGTCACTAGCTCTGCGCTAGAGGGAACGACAGGCCCGGGGCTTGTCATTCCCAACTCGGAACAGTGAACACTTCCCTGAGGTTATCCGGGTACAGCGAGTGTTTCTCTGATCTCGAACTCTATGATCAAGCTCTCTGAGCTAACAATGTCCTGCTTATTCTAGACCCAACACAGGTGCTCAATAAGCAGAACTACGATCAGAGTCAATGCTTTACATGCTGTTTTGTCTTTCAGCAATAAAAATCTAACTAGAACAGAACAACAGGTAGCACAGCCACCATTTTATAATTGTCCTGTTTTAAAAAAAACTGAGATTGGGCTGGAGTGATGGTACAGTGGGTAGGGCGTTTGCCTTGCATGCGGCTGACCCAGGTTCTATTCCCAGCATCCCATATGATCTCCTGAGCATCAGCAGGTGTAATTCCTGAGTGCAGAGCCAGGAGTATTCCCTGTGCATGGCCGGGTGTGACCCAAAAAGCAAAAAAAAAAAAAAAACTGAGACGGGGGAATATATTGAGAGAACCATGAAGAGGCCAGAGAGGGGGTTTGGCAGTGAAGTTCATGCCTTGTATGAGACCTGAGTTCCACTCCCAACACTGTAAAAACAAAATTAAAAAATACAGATTCCAGAACAGTGGAGTTTTTTTCCTCGGGAACGGTGGTATTCTGAAAATTAACCTTACACAGCAACTATCCCACTATTTTAAGCAGTGGAGCAGGGATGTAGGTCGATGGCGGAGCTCATGCCTTGCTTTGCCACTGAGTCACACTCTGGTTTCGAGCCTTGCTACTCCCCTCCTCCAAAAAAAAAAAAACCCAGAAACAAAAACAAAACCCCCCAAAAAAACAATCTGTTAAACCCTAGTTACCTCAAACATTTTCCCCCCAAGTAGATACACAACAGAGTAAAAAATGAATGTTTGATTCATTATTATTACATGTAAATATGAAGTTCAGTAGTTCCTAGAAAAATCTGGACATACCCAGGCTGTCGGTATTTAAGTCTAGTGGTTTACATATAGGGTGATACTGGAAGATGATGATGATACTGCCTGACTGCGAAGTTGGTGACATTTTGTATGTTTCACCTTAAAAATATATACATATTTATATGAAAAGACTCAATACACGTCTCTACATTCAAACCCATAATTATCACTGAGCTCTCCAGATCAAACCCACCTTTCCTTCTGTGACCATTCGTAGAGTATCAATTAATCGAAGTTTGATAGGGAGGTCTGTGATTTCCTCGACGTAAACACAGCACTGCTGAACCATTTTTGCAACAGCCTAAAATAACAAATAATATTTATAAATTCATTCTTCATACAGGAAAAAAAAATTGTAATACTACTGTGAAATTCGGCGTTGCAGGCGGGAAACCTAGGTTTGATTCCCAGCACCCTAAGTGGCCCCCCAGCCCTGCCAGAAGTGCTGAGTGCAGAGCCAGGAGCAAGCCCTCAACACTGCTGGGTAAAGCCCCAAAACAAAACAACCCCCCCCCAATGGCCTTCCCAAGCAATTCCAGGCACTGAAAAACTTATAAAGGAAAACCACATTCAAGGCAAGTGCCTTACCCCACTTTACTATTGCTCCAACCCCAATTTCCATCTTGAAAAAAAAAAGTTACGGGGGCCAGACACAAAATCCAGTGAGTAAGGCGCTAACGTGCCTCATACATTCGATCCATGGCTCCACATATGGTCCCCGAGCACACTAGGGTGACCCCTGAGCGCAGAGCCAGGAGTCAGTCCTTCCCTATTAACTTGTTTTGGAGGCCACGTCCAGATACATTTCTCTCCTCATAGGGCAGCCCAGACAGAGGGGCTGTCTCGCTGCACTCTGCAGCTTTGGGAATTACTTTTGTGGCCCCATGCATGCCATGCAACTGCTTCAAGCCACTAAACCATCTTCCAAGCTCCAGGCGTTGTTTGGACGGCTCACTCTGTGTAAGAATGAACTGAACAATGGACATTCCTAGAAGTGATGATATAAGCAGGCTGAAGCAACCATGCAGCAGTGGCAGGAATATACAGCCCGTAACGGCCCTACAGGGCCCAGAATGCTCTTTGTGCCACACACAACCGTCTTCAGCTCTGTACGTCTCAGGCCCTAACAATTAACTTTAAACAGGTCCACAGATTCATTTCCTAAAAATCCTTATTATTAAAAAAGTGAAAACACACTAGTTTTCTGAACAATTATGAACTCACTTGTTTTAACTGACTCCGTCTTTTGGACAAAAGCATAATATTTTCGTTAAGTAGGTCCCATTCTTTAGCTTCGTAGCACATCTTCACTACTGCAACTAAGATACGAGATGTAGATACCATATCAGAAGCCTGTAAGAATGAAAACACATGAAATAGAAGTTAGTGGAATTATATTAGGTGAGCCTAAAGGTAAGTGATGGGGTCTTCAACGCTGATCTACTCACAGTGCGAGTTTGTTTTTCCAAGGAAAGAAGGGTTTCAATGACCTCTTGAAGTCTTCCTTCCTAAAACAAAAGATAACTCATTTACAAGAGATGTTTTGACACGGGGAAAAAAGTCAATGGCCTATTCTAGAGAAGGGAAACACCCACGGTTTTTATTTTTCTGCTTTTCATGACAGCACTTGCGTCTCCAGCACATTCTTAGAAGCTACCAACTTGGGACTCAAAACCTTCTTTTTGGCTGTTTTGGGGCCACTACCACTGGAGTTCTGGCCTCACGCCTGGCGGAACTCAAGGACCATTTAGGATGCCAGGGACTGACCCCGGGCCCACCACAAGCTCTTTCTCTCCAGCCCAAAAGAACTGTTTTACTTTTGTAATTTTCTAATTGGTTCACCCCCGACATTGGCTTTGAGCTCAGAGATCATTCCTGGTGGAGCTCGGGGGACCCCTAGGCAGGGCCATAGATCAAACCCTCATCAAATGCATGCATGGCAAGGGCCTTAAGGTGCTGCAATATCTCTCCAGCCCCACATTTTTGTTTAGTTTTGGGGCCTCTTGGCGATGTTCAGGCAACCATGTGGTGCCAGGCATCAAACCCAGGTCTGGGCACACCCTATTCCCACGGTCTCCTCTTCTTCTCCTTTTTTTTTTTTTTGCTTTTTGGGTCACACCCGACGATGCACAGGGGTTACTTCTGGCTCTGCACTCAGATGCTTGGGGGACCATATGAGATGCTGGGAATCAAACCTGGGTCGGGCGCGTGAAAGGAAAATGCCCTACCCACTATGCTATCACTCCAGCCCCTGGCCCCTCTTCTTTCAAATTCTTTCTTGTTCTGTTGCCACCTTGGGGATGCTCCATGGACCACATGTGGTACTGGAGATGGAACTGGAAGCTGCGCTCAGCCTGCCGAGCTCTCTCTGGTCCTGGTTTCTTGTGGTGGGGGTAGTGGTGGGGTCACACCAGGAGATTCTGCGGAATCTTCAGTGATGGGGGCCCAGGTGCAAAGCACACACACTCTGTGCAGCCCACTGAGGCACCTCTCTGGCCCCAAATGACTTAGTTCTTGTTTGTTACCAATTTGTCACTGAGCCACATCCAGTGATGCTCCATGCTTAGGGGTCATGCTTGTCAACATGCAGTGCATGCTTGGCTACATGCAAGGGCAGTGCTTTACCCACTGTACTAGCTCTCTGGCACACCAAATTACCAATTTCTTTTTTTAGCTTTATATTATAACACCATTGATTTACCAAGTTGTTCAGAATACAACTGTTTCAGGCATTAAGTGTTCCAATACCACTCTCAGCACCAGTGCTAACAACCAGTTTTAATAGGCTATTTTACATGGTTACCTTGGGAAAGACACCACCCTCTTTCACCCTCAGTTTTCTCTTCAGTAAACTGTATTCATCTAGCAACAGTTCTTACCATAAGAACTGAAGCAACACCTCTGAAGGTGTGCCTAAACAGAATCATTTCAACAATGTTAGGCAACAGCTAACATTATAAGAGAACTTACAAAGGGGACCAGGGAGATAGTACAGTGGGTAGGGCGCCTGTCTCGCAAGCAGCTAACCTGGGTCCAATCCCCAGCAACACATATGGGTCCCATGAGTCCCACCAGAAGTGACTCTAAACACAACCAGGCATGGTCAAAATAATAATAAAACAAACACTGTCCCCCCGTTGTTCATCGATTTGCTCGAGCGGGCCCAGTAACATTTCCATTTTTTGAGACTTGTTGTTAACTGTGTGTGGCATATTGACTACATCACGGATAGCTAGCCAGGCTTTGCTGTGAGGGCGAGATAGTCCGGTAGCTTGCCGGGCTCTCTGAGAGGGGCGGAGTAATCAAACCCAGCTTGGCCAGGCTGGCTGCGCGCAAGGCAAATGTGCTACCGCTGTGCTATCGCTCCAGTCCAAAATAATAAGAATAATGTATAGAACATTAGCTATTACTATTTGCGGTGTGTTAAGACAGAGACAGAACTGTACATAACTGCAAAGGGCCTTGACTTGACAATTTACCATTTAGGCCTAAGCTTCAGGCTCTTTAACCTCCCTGACCTGTGGCTGCTTCTCTTCGAGTTCCCTTTTTCTCTTTAAACACTGGGGAACTCCTGGAGGTGCTTGGGAAGGACTCCCAGGCCGCATCTGGTGGTGCTAGGGTGAACCATGTAGGGTCAGAGGGCCAACTCAGGACCATGCACCGTGCCATATGTTGGTATGTAATCGATCATTTGCACTGACTCCCCAGCCTATAGCTGATACGGTCTTAATTCTCATCCTCAAATGTTCTTTATGTTAAAAAACAAGAACAAAAAAAATAGTAAGTCAAGAACAGGGATGAAGGGTCAGAGTTTAGCTGGAGTGAGTGCTTCACGTATACAAGGTCCATTTCAATCCTTAGTATATGATTAGTTACTTCTGGATCACCCAGCGGTGCTCAGGGCTTCCTCCTGGCTCTGTGCTCGGGAATTACTCCTAGTGGGACTTGGGGAACCAGAGGTGGTACCAGGGACTGAACTTGGGTTGTCTGCACGCAAGGCTAGTGTTAGCTCTCACCCCCACAGCATTTTCCTAATGAAGTCTTGGGGCCAGAAAGTACCAGAGACAAGCACCTCACTCACACGCGGCTGCTCCAGCCGACCCTCGTTGGATCTGATGTCATACGTGGTCTCCTGAGCACAGAGCAAGGACCAGTTCCCTAACCTAGAGCTTGGGAGGCGCAGAGGAACAGTCCCTTAAAGAGTCACGGGGTGCAACACAAGTAACAGGGCTGAACTAGACTTAGCTCTGCTGCAGACTACGTCTTCTGGAAAGTAAACAATCTTTCTTCACTTTCACTGATGGGCTACATATAAAATCCAGAAAAAACATATGCTACAGAGTTCTACCCAAAAGCAAAACTGGGGGCTGGAGAGATAGCACAGTGGGTAGGGCGTTTGCCTTGCACGCGGCCGACCTGGGTTCGATTCCCAGCATCCCATATGGTTCCCAGAGCACCGCCAGGAGTAACTCCTGAGTGCAGAGCCAGGAGTAACCCCTGTGTATCGCCAGGTGTGACCCAAAAAGCAAACAAAAAACCAAACAAACAAAAAAGCAAAACTGATTTCTATTCATTTTGGTTTAGGGGACAAGCATTACAGTGCTCAGGGTTTACTCCTGGCAGGGGTTGGGGGAGCATAGGGGAAGCTGGGGATGGAAACCAAGTGTGCCCCATGCAGGGCAAGAACCCTACCCGCTGTGCTATCACTCTGGTCAGGAGTATATTCGTTTCCCCTCCTAGCCTATAAACTGCTTTAGGGCAATAGTTCTAAAAGGGGAAACCTGGGTGGCCAGGGATTAAACCCAGGTCAGCTGCATGAAGACCCTATCTGCTGTACTATTGCTTTAGTCCCGAAGTCCGTCTTTCATTTTTTTTTCCCAGGAATGTTTATTGAGACGCTGTGATTTATAGAACTGTTCATGATAGTTGTTTCAGGCAGACGGTGTTCCAACACCAGTAACACCACCAATGTCCCCTTCCATCCGCTAATATCCCCAGGTTCCCTCCCATTCCCCAGCCTATCCACTTGGCAGGCATATGATGAATGTATTGCTTATTACTTGCACCAATAATTAAAGGAATTAATTAAATGAATTAGAAGTAGAATTGGTCTGGAGCAATAGCACAGCAGGTAGGGCATCTGCCTTGCACGCGGACGACCCAGGTTCGATTCCTCCACCCCTCTTAAAGAGTCCGACAAGCTACCCAGGGTATCCCGCCCACATGGCAGAACCTGGCAAGCTCCCCGTGGCATATTCAATATGCCAAAAACAGTAACAAGTCTCACAATGGAGATGTTACTGGTGCCTGCTCGAGCAAATCGATGAACAAAGGGAGGACAGTGCTACAAGTAGAATTATCAATGAAAGCCAATTTTTTGTTTGTTTTCGAGCCACATCTGGCAGTGCCCACTGCTTACTCCTGGTTCTGCACTCAGAATTACTCCTGGCAGTGGTTGGGGGACAATATAGGATGCCGGGGATCAAACCCAAGTGCAAGGCAGATACCTTACCTACTCTATTGTCCCTCTCACTCCAATAAGTCAATTTGTGATGATTGATTTCCAAATGTTTTAAACCTTTCTTAACCTAGTAGAGGACAACCATATGCACCATTAGTGAGCGTCATACTCAATGCCACATGATAGGAAGTTTCACCTGTCCTTTAAGGAAGCTCCTTTAATACTTCCTAGAAGAGTCTATCCCTTAAAAATATTTTTCCTTATAGACACCATCGTGCTATTAATTCTAAAGTGGTGATTCTGGGATCTAACATTAGGATCTGAATGTTTTGTTTGATCCACAAAGTACTGGGTCAGATAATATTTTGGTGAGTTTGGGGGGGGGTGTTTTTTTCTCTTGGGCTGGGGGAGGGATAGTCCCAAGCGGTGCCCAGGCAGTACACTGGGGGCCTGTTCCTGCAACACTCAGTCCCTGGGTCCAATAGTTAGTGGCCATACCCTGCAGTGCTTGGACTGAACTCTGGGTTCTGCAGCTAGAGGTCACACTCTAGCCCTGTAAGTCATCTGCCCAGACCTCAGTGTTTCACACCAAATGGGCAAGTGGTTCACTGATGATGCAGCACTGCATGGGCCATGCAGTGCAAGGGGTCACCCAGGCCACCCTGGCAATGCTTAGGTGCTCCAGGGCTGTCCCCTGTGACATGTGTGGGACCATCCAGCGCTGCAGATCAAATCATGTGCAAGGAAAGAGCCCCTCTTGCTGTACTATCACTCTGGCCCCTCAAACCGTATTTATTTTATTTTTGGTTTTTGGGCCACACCCGGCGATGCTCAGAGATTACTCCTAGCTCTACACTCATGATTTACTCCTGGCGGTGCTCAGGGGACCATATAGGATGCTGTGGATTGAACCCAGGTCAGCCATATGCAGACAAAGGCCCTACCCGATGTACTGCAGCTCTGGTCCCTCAAATAGTACTTTAAAAGTGTTTAGGCCAGAGAGTTAGTGGAGACCTGAGAACCACTAAGAGAGAGGTTCCTTGAGCAGAAAGCCAGAAAGAAACCCTCAAGCACTGCCAGGCATGACCCAAAAAACAAAGAGCAAAACAGGGGATGGAACTATAGTACAGTGGGTAGGGTGTTTGCCTTGCAGGCAGCTAATCCCAATTCGATCCCTGGCATCCCAGATGGTCCCCCCCCCCACCACCCGAGAACTGGCAGGAGTGCAGAGCCAGAAGTAACCCCCGAACACTACTGGGTGTGACCCAAATAAGAAAAAAAAAAGATAAAAATGATTAGCGTCTAGTTTCTAATGAGCGGGGGCATACCCATACCCAGCAGTGCCCAGGGCTTAATCCTGACAGGCTCAAGTAACCAAATGGTGTGCCTGGGATCGAACTGAGTTGACTGTGTTTAATGTAAATGCCCTCTCCTGCTGTAGTTCTATCACTCTGATCCCAAGGCATTTAGTAGTTTTTACAAATCCACATTCCAGGGCCAGAGAGATGGTACAGTGGGTAGGGGGTTTGCCTTGCACATGGCCAACGCGAGTTCAAGCCCTGACACCACATATGGTCCCCCTGAACACCACCAGCGGTGATTGCAGAGCGCAGTAACCCCTGTGAGTTGCTGGGTGTGGCCCGAAACAAAAACAGAACAAAAGTCTTGAGCCTCTGGCTCAACGGGTAAAGGCTGTGTGGGCCTGCTCTGCCTGGCAGGCGCCCAGGGCGGGTCTCCCACTACACTCAGGCGGGATGAAAAGGCGAACACACAAGTCCATGGTCTGAGTCTGCAGCTGGGCTGAATAATAGTAATAGTCAGTAATAGTAACTCCCTACACCGGGCTGCGGTGAACATCCCTGTGCCCGCCCAGGCACTGCAGAGCGAACTGGGACATGTCCAGGAGTGCTCGCCAGACAGAAGTGCCAGGCTTTGGGGTTTCCAATGCCAGAGGGTGATGCGAGCCCTCCACAAGCTCAGGGACCGAGTCCTCTCTAGGTGCAGGTAAGAAATGCAGGTGCATCAACTTCATCTGCGCTCCGTGTGTTCTCCAACTCCCATTAGATTCCATTTTGATAAAAAGAGAAGCACTAAAAAGGCTTGGAGAGGGCGGGAGAAGATAGTACAGCGGCCAAAGAGCCTGCTTTGCACGCGGCTGACCCAGGTTCCATCCCTGACATCCCCTGAGCACTTCCAGGAGTGATTCCTGAGTGCAGAGCCAGGAGTAAGCTCTAAGCATTGACAGGTGTGGCCCCCCAAAACAAAACAAAATAAAACAAAAGAAAAAGGCTTGAAGAAGCAATCCAGGGGTTAAGGACTGCCTCTCCTTGCATACAGCAGACCTCAGTTCGATTCCTAGCAGGTACACAGTCCCGGGAGTGGTCCCTGAGCACTGGATCAGGAGCAAGCCCTAAGCACAACCCCAAATAACGGAGCCATTTGGGTGTGGCCTCAAAACCAAACAGAAAGAAATAGATCTCTTTCTAAAACTTAAATGTGAAGTATTACTTGGCCCCGAATGTGTTACACTTTAATGCACTTAGGCAGAACTCTGCTTCAGGGATAAAACTTGATGGAGTGCATGCACCCCAGGTGATCCCTGCCGCAGATCAAGGAATTCAACAAGGCCCGTGCATAAAAGCCTTAGCAACAGCCCATGAGGGCGCACATCCATCCTTGGCCAGGCAAGCCTAGTTTGGAATCCCTACTAACTTTAGACTTTAAAAAATGCGAAACTAGGGGCCGGAACGATAGTACAGGGGTAGGCGTTTCCCTTGCACAAGGCCCACCTGGGTTCAATTCCGGGCATCCCATTACGGTCCCCCAAGCACTTGTCAGGAGTAATTCCTGAGTGCAGAGCCAGGAGTAATCCCTGAGCAACGCCGGGTGTCACCCAAAAAGCAAAAAAAGAAAAAAAATGTGAAACTAAACCTAGAACTGCACATACACCTGCGGGGGCGCCGGGGGAGACAGGGGCGCATGACACCTGCTTATTAGATCAAGTGGCATTTCCACCGGCAGGAGAGAGCTCGGCCGGCTTTGTATGGGGGGGGGGGGGGCGTCCGGACGGGTCCGTCCACCCACCCACGGTACCCTGAGCACACTGCCAAGGAGCCGGGAGCAAACCAGTGTGGGCACCCTCCCCCAAAACCCACACGTAAAAGAAGTTAGTTAACATCTCTCTGCACACCGGACCGCCCCAGTGGCTTTCTTTCCCCCCGCTCCGGGACTGACCCCTGCCCAGCGCTTCTCCTGCCCGGTCCCTCCGTCACAGCCGCCCACGGGTCCCCGACGCCGTGGGAGCCGCGTCCCGACGGCCCCGTCCTGCCCCCACCACCGCCGCGGCTGCTGGGCGCGGGGAGCGGCGGGGTCCATCGCCTCGGCCCTCGCGCTTCCCGGGTCCCCCTTCCCGGCCACCGGGCGGGCAGCCCCTCGCCCCCCGGACACCCACGCACCCGCGGGCCCCGCTGCCCGACTCGAGACCCTCCTCCGAGCTAGCCCGGAACGCGGCCCCGCAGTGAGCGTCACCCGGGAGGCGGCCTGGCGTGTCCGGGGGGCCCCGGGCACCTTACGGGGGCGCGCCGGGCCCCGCGAGGCCCCCCGAGGCCCCCCGAGGCCTACGCGGGCAGCGCCGCCGTGACTCAGCCCCTGGCGCCCGCCGCCGCCGCCGCCGCCGGCCGCGCCTCACCTTGGCCAGCTTCTCGCACTCGGGCAGGCGCTGGTCCACCGTGGCGCTGTAGTCCACTTCCATCTTGACGATGCGCCCGTCCGCCCGCTCCGAGCCGCCGTCCGCCATGGTCCCAGCGCGCGAGGCCCCCAGCACGTCCCTGCGCCTCGGCCACTGCTCGGCACCACACCGGAAACGGCCCGCACGCCCCGCTCAGGCAGCGCGCCGGGCGCCCGTGCGAAGGACCCCGCCGCGAGGCCCCCGCGCGGCCGCCAGCGGCCCGTCAGGCACCGGCGCGGGCAGCCTTGGGGGCGGGGCTGGGGGCGGGGCTCCAGGCAGTTTCCCGGGAGTCTGGGTCTGGGCGTGAAATTGAGGGTACAGAAGCAGGAGAGGAGCATAGGGCCTGATTTCCTTTTTTTCTTTTTCTTTTTCTTTTTTTTTTTGCTTTTTGGGTCATACCCAGCTATGCATAGGGATTACTCCTGGCTCATGCACCCAGGAATTACTCCTGACAGTGCTCAGGAGACCATATGGGTTGCTGGGAATGGAACCTGGTCAGCCACTGCAAGGCAAACGCCCTACCCGCTGTGCTATCAACTCCAGTCCCTTGTGTGTTTATTTTTGTTTTGTTTTGTTTTGTTTTTTAATTGAACAAATTCCCTCCCACGACTATAAATCTCATGTAACCATGATTTTACCGTTGCAGCTACTAAACTTGTTTAGTCTTCGGTGGTCCCCTCCCAACCACTATCCCTAAATGATATTTAAATATAAAATCTTAAACATTTCCTTCAAGTCTGATGTCCTTCAGTGCAATCTACTTTATTTAACATAACCCATTTGGAACAGTCATTTTCGAATGCTTTTTTTCTCTGCCTTTTGGGAAGAGTCAACAAACGATTTACTTCTTAAATCCACCTTTTCTTTAATGAGCGTGGGGCCTGATTTTGAAATAGTTATTCCTCAGATCCGTACTCCAGACCCTTAGCATACATATATGTATATATATGTATGTATATATAGATGTATGTATATGTGTATATATATATATATACATGAACCCAGGTAATGTAGAACTTTGTGACCTTAGACTCTGAACTCAATGGGAACAGGAGCAGAGATAGATCCTTTGCCTGCTTCCCCCAGTCTCAGATAAACCAGGGACCACAACCCATAAGCCACCTCCTGCAGGTGCCAGATAATCTCCTCATCAGCCACCCTCTAGAACTCACAGCTGCTTCTCCCAGGAGGGAGCATAAAATGAGGCCCTCATAACCATGCCACCGGACTCCACACCAGGCTGTTTTCAATCAGGGCGCCCCCAGAGGGGGGTGGGTGAGAGCCCTCCCCGCCCCAAGGGACACAGCCCTAGCAGCCGACCTCCACTACCCAACTGCTGCCACACTCCAGGCCGCTTTCCACATGCTCGGTCCAAGTCTCACATATGAGAGCACATTCCTGGACATATCACAAGAAACTCCCTACCCATTTTTCATAATTACCACATCGTATTTGATGGGGTTCAGACAGTAGGCAACAAATCATAGAGGGAAATATATATATACATATATATATTTCTTGGAGAGACCGGCAAGCTACCGAGATATCCCGCCCGCACGCTAAAGCCTGGCAAGCTACCTGTGGCGTATTCGATATGCCAAAAACAGTAACTAACAGGTCTCATTCCCCTGACCCTGCGCCTCCAATACCGCAGCGTTGGGAAGGACAAGTAAAGAGAGGCTGCTAAAATTTCAGGACTAGGACGAATGAATGAAGATGTAATTGGCACCTGCTCGAGTAAATCGATGAACAACAGGATGACAGTGATACAGTGATTTTTTTGGAGGGGGTTGGGATTCTTGGCGATGCATGTGCCGGTTGCAATGAAAGCATCGCACCTTTTCATCTGGTTGAGACTCTGAACACTCAGAACATAGGGCAGTGGCTCGGTAATAAAAGTGTGTTTGCTTTGCTTTTATTTTTACAGCAATCTAGTCCGTTGGGAAGATTTTTTTTTAAGAATTGTTTTATCTGCTTTTCCTAGAGGACATCAATAAAACGATCACTTAAGTGAGATTTTCAATTCCTAAGGGACATTTTCTTTTTTCTTTTGATGCTTGGGCCACACCCAGCGGTGCTCAGGGCTGACTCCTGGTGGGGCTGGGGAGAACATATGTGGTGTCAGGGATGGAACCCAGGTTGTCCCAAGCGCAAGGCAAGCGCCTCACCCACTGTACTATCTCTCCAGCCCAGGAAGTTTCCTTTATTATCTCACACCACGTGTTTTCGTATAAAAAAGCTCAAGATCAGTGGTAGCCTACCAGTTACGCACATGGTTCTCAACTTGCTCATTACAGCATCCCTTTGTTTTCCTTACTTATTATATATTCTATTTTATTTATTACTCTCCCACCACCTCCCATATATCTCTAGGTCACTTCAGACCTAAACTAGGGTTGGAGAGCAGGGCTCCTTGCCTGCCCTAGTGCCAAGCCTAGCTTACTCAACATCCTTTTTATGTGATGAATTTCCTTTAAAAGGGGGAAAGGGCCTGGGACACCCCCTGTGGTGGTGCTGGAGGGTCCATATACTGTGTCTGGCATATCGAATACTCTCGGTAGCTTGCCGGGCTCTCCGAGAGGGGCGGAGGACTCGAACTCGGGTCGGCCATGTTGGCTGCGTGCAAGGCAGACGCCCTACCCGCTGTGCTATCGCTCCAGCCCAGGAGGGTCCATATATGTGTCTAGAATTGAACCAGCGCAGTCACATGCAAGAAAAGCACCTTAACTTCTATACTATCTCTCTGGTTCCTAAGTTTTTCCATTTTTGTTTATTTATTTACTTATTGGCCACATACGGTGGTGGTGTGCTCAAGACTTACTCCTGGCTCTGTGCTCAGCAATTGCTCCTAATGGTGTTCAGCGGACAAAAAGCAGTGCTGGACATCAAACCCAGGGTGGCCATCTGTAAGGAAAGCGCCCTGCCTGCTGTACCAACACTCGAGCCCCTGAGTTCTGCCATTTTATTTTATAGTTTATAGGTTATGAAAATCATGGATAATAGAAGAGTGTTTAAACATCCTAGCTGTGCTGTAAAGGAGAAACATTTTGGGGGGATTTTTTGGATGGGTTTTATTCTTTGTTTTTTGTTTGGCAATGCTCAGGGGTTACTCCTGGCTCTACACTCAGGAATTACTCCTAGCAGTGCTTGAAGGACCATATAGGATGCCGGGATTGATGGGATTGATCCCAGCTTGAGCCCATGCAAGGCAAACACTCTACCCTCTGTACTATTGTTCCTGCTCTAGGAGACACTTTTTCCCCCCACTTTTTTGCTGTTTGGGTCATACCCAGCGATGCACAGGGGTTATTCCTGGTCATGCACTCTGGAATTATTCCTGGTGGTGCTCAGGGGACCACATGGGATGCTGGGAATCAAACCCGGGTCAGCTGTGTGCAAGGCAAATGCACTACCCATTGTGCTATCACTCCAGCCCCAGGAGACATTTTAAGGTAGAGAACTGTATTTCCAAATATCAAGGCTAGACTAACCCATGTCAAAGGCTAAAAATGACATGTCTTTTGCTTGACCATGTACCCCGTGACCGGACACGGAAAGTACAACCGGTGTGCACCAGAAGGATTTGCTGGTGACAGGGGGCGTGATTTCCCCAAGATACTAGACAACTGATAGGAAAAGACTGCACCAAATTCTAATTGTTAATAGACATTTTAGTGTATATTAAAACTTAAAAAAAAAGTTTAGCATATGCACCGTGGAGTCCAGGCCCCTAGCACATCCATTGGTGTCCAGCAGGAGTGTCCGGCAGGTCATCCACAGGTCTCTGGAAAGTGGGATGTACTTCCTGTGGCTTTGCACTGCAGCCCACTCACAGACTGCTCACTTCTCGCCTCCTTCCACAAGTGGCGACAAGCCAGACATGCTTCCAGGTTTCTAAAATACTCTAGGGGCTGGAGGGACATTTGCCTTGCAGGTGGCCAACCGGGGTTCAATCCCTGGCATCCCATATGGTCCCCTGAGCTGGTAGGAGTGATCCCTGAGTGCAGAGTTGGGAGTAACCCCTAAGTATCACTGGGTGTGACCCAAACAACAAAAATAAATAAATAAATAAATAAATAAACACGTGGGGCCAGAGAGGTAGTACAGTGGGTAGGGCATTTGCCTTGCACGTAGCCAAGCTGGATTCAATCCCTGATATCCCATATGGTCTCCTGAGCACTGACAGAAGTAATTCTTTTTTTTTTGGCTTTTTGAGTGAAACCCAGGAATGCTCAGGGGTTACTCCTGGCTCTGTATTCAGGAAGAAGGAAGGAAGGAAGGAAGGGAGGGAGGGAGGGAGGAGAAAATAGGAAGGAGGGAGAAAAAAGAAAGGGAAGAAAAAAAGGAAGGAAGGAAGGAAGGAAGGAAGGAAGGAAGGAAGGAAGGAAGGGAAGGAAGAGGCAAAGAAATCTTCAGCAAATGGGTTTATGGGTTCCAGAATTCAAAACCTAAAAAAGTGAGGCAGGGTCAGAGGTGTTAGAGATGAAGAATGTTCTTGTTCACTCCCAACCCCAGTGAAAACTCTTCCTTGTTAGATTTGGGGTAACCAAACAATGAAGGTAAATCGATAGCTAAGGAGAAACTTGGAGAGGAGGGCTGGAGCAAAAGTGTAATGGGTAGGGCATTTGTCTTGCATGCGACTGACTGACGTTTAATTCCTGAACCCCATATGGTCCCCTGAGCATGGCCAGGAGTGATCCCCGAGCGCAGATTGAGAGTAACCCCTGGGCACTGTCAGTATGGTCCCAAACCAAAATATGTGAATAAATAAAACCATTCTTGAAAAGCAGTGCTCATGGCCTATGCTCAGCTCTGTCCTCAGGACCTGTTTTGGGAGGAACTTGGGGACTATGTGGAACTGGGGACCAAAGCCAGTTCTCTCTCATGTGAAGCATGCACTTAGCCCCCGTGGGCTTGGGTGCTCTCTCTTCTTCAAAAAAAATGACAAGAGGGACTGAAGCAATAGTACAGTGGGTAGGGCTTTGCCTCGCACGCGGCTGATCCAGGTTCAATCCTCAGCATCCCATATGGTCCCCCAAGCACCACCAGGAGTAATTCCTGAGTGCAAAGCCAGGAGCATCACTGGGTGTGATAAAAAAAAAAAAGACAAGGATTGGAGCAATGGTACAGTGGGCAGGGCACTTGCCTTGAGCATGGCCACCCCAG